TGATTTAGCTGCTATACTTATTCATTACAAATATGTTCAAATTATGGGCACTTCCTTAGGGCCAACCTCTCCTTATCCGCATACCTGCTTTAACACAAAAATTGGAACCCAATCACTCTCATTTTAAATATGAATGGGTCAGACACAGGCACAAGGATGCCATTTTCATACACATTTCATTTATTTACAATATTTGTGTACCATTTTTCAATGATAATGGTTCTAGTTTGGCCCCTACTTAAAGGGGGGGGGGAATGCAGTTATCAGTCCAGTTGTCCCCTGTTCTTACCACATTGAGGGATTATATTTAATGTTGCCAAGTGCTAACATGAGTTTCTTTCCTTTTGGGGAGGGCGTGAAGAAGAAAGAATACTAACTTAAATAAGTCCAACAGTGCTATCAGTGTGCAGTGAAATATATTGGAGTACTAGATTGACAAAAAAGACATACACACTAACCCTGTGGGGCTGCAATATACACACTCACAGATACACTCTGCTAGCAGGCCTCACATCAGCACTTGTCATCCTTGGGTAGTTGTTGCAGTCCCTGCGCCCCAGCATAGCCCATCTGCCCTCCCCATCAAGGACGGTGCTTTAGCTGCTGCAATTTGGATGGTAGGCTACATTTTGTTTCACCCACAATGCACTAGTTATTGCATCAGCCTCATAGCGAAAACAAAATGGTGGTTGGAGGAGGAAGGTTACCTCTCGGGAGCTTTCCACAGTTAAACAGGAAGAAGGCTCTTTGCAGAATTAGCTCCATTACTTCTGACCCCAACCCGCATTCCACCTGTAAACCCTAAAGTGGCCTTACCATATTGGGAGGCATCCCAGCTGGAGATTTTGCCAACAGCCCCCTCAAACCTGGAGGCAGCCCTGACTGGTACAAAAATCAGCAGCAGTCCTTTTTGTTTTTGTGGGAGCCAATTTCTGAAGTTGTTGCTATGAATTCCTCTTTTTAAAAAAACCCTTTTGCCTGTTTCAGAAGGAGACAAATGGTAAAATCCTCCTCCCAGCAGAGAAGGAGCAGAACAAAAAGAGTTAATGTGCAGCGTTGTCACACAGTTGGCACAGAGGCTATTATTTTTACTTCTAAGAAGAGGAAAACATAAACCAAAAAAACCCCAGCAAAACGGCACACGCCTCAATGCCAGCAGCAAAAGCAGCATCTCAACACAGTTGAAAGCTGGCACATTGTTCAGTGCCACCCCCTGACACGTCATCATCCCCATGGCTGAACTGAGCCTTCAGACTGATGAAGGAAATATTAGGCCGCAGGCTTGCTTTAGTGGAAGAATAGAAGCCCTGTATTTTCAGTCCTGGTGCCAGAGAAAAGGATGAGGTGGAAAACACAGGCACAACCCAGCCTTTAAATGTAACACTTCAAAGGGCTACATGACCATCCTGCTCCCCAGTACCCCAAAAGAACAGGGAGGATAGCGTTGCCTTTCCCCCTCCCCCCACCAGTTATTTCATGTCATTAAATTTAATGTCCTTAGCTTTGCAAATAAGTCTTCCAAAGTTACTACTAGACCAGATTTTTGGGACTAGCCAGTGCATCCCTATGCAAGTGATTTGTGATCAACAAAACTTCCAGAGTGGGAACACGGAAGCAATCTTCAGTGACCATAAGCAACTAAATAGTAGTGCTTGACACACCTCCATTTCCTCACCCCAGGTACACGGCAGAAATGCAGAAAATTTCAAATCCAAATTTGGCTTCACTTGAAAGCAACTTGTTCCTCAGACTCGCCCCCCACCCAAAGCTGAGCTACAGGACAGCATCCAACCTTTCTCATAACATGTTAAGCTAGCGTATATATTAAATCAGTCTATTTGGGATATCTAGGCAGCAGCTCTCCAGAGTCTCAAATATAGGTGGTCTTTCCCATCGCTTGCTACCAGATCTTTGAACTGGTGATGCCAGGAATTAAACCTGAGACTCTTCTGCAGGCAAAACTTCTATTGCCCATATCAGAGGAGGAGAGTTGTGCAGTTTGGTAGCTTTCCTTTTTAGGACACAATCTTTATGCCCTGAATGGGAGCCGCAGGTCAGGAAATGCTCTCTATGAAGAGGCCCTTTGAAGAGGTTCTGTCTCTCTGTTGGTTCATTCAGAACCATACCGACTTGCAACAAAAATGATGGTTGTAAGGAACAGTTGAGGAATTTGGGTGTGTTTAGCCTGGAGAAGAGAAGACTGAGAGGTGATGGGATAATAATCTTCAAATATCTGAAGGGATGTCACATGGAAGATGGGGAAAGCTGGGATGGGACCCAAACCAATGAATTTAAAAGATAGTTAGGAGATTCTGACTAAACATTAGGAATAACCTCCTGGCGGCAAAAGCTGTTCAACAGTGGAATGGACCTTAGAAGGTTGTGGACTCTCCTTCACTGGAGGTTTCTAAACAAAGGTTGGATGGTCATCTTTCATGGATGCTTGGGCTGTGATTCTTGCATGGCAAGAAGTGGACTGGCATGTGTGCCTTATTTGCTTAATTCCCATGGGCACTTCCATACTGTTTCCATTTTCAAATGGGATTCAACCACATACCAACTAATTTTATCTTGTGAACTGCCCTGAGATCTTATGATGAAAGATGGTATATAAGTCAAATGAATAAAATAAAATAAAATAAAATAAAATAAAATAAAATAAAATAAAAATGGTGATCGCGCAATTAAAGCTGATTTTGAACTCTTGCACAACAAACTAGCTTTCCAAAAGACTATGGGTAAGGAAAGTGAAGGAGAAAGATAGTGGAAAGTGTGGGATCACAGTTGCTTTGGCACGTGCTATGTACACACTTTGTATCCAATGCTCTCCCACTGCTGGGTTTTGGAAGTGGTGGGAACACAACATTAGCCACAATCCATATCTATCCTTTATATATCCTGGCGTATCTTGGAAATGCTGTGTTTTGATGCATTTCCCCCCAAGCCAATTTCAAACTGAATTGACAAAAATAGACAAGCTAGATGTGTTTTAAGCTGGTAATGTGTGCACAGCCGTCTAGCCTCCCCACAAACAAATCGGAGTGAATCATTAAATAGCCAACACTGTCTAATCTCCCTGGAAACAATCAGGATGAATGCTCAATAAACAGGTCGTCTGGAAGTGCTCCATGTTAAATGGCTCCTTCGTTGTCTGCAAAATTCAAGAGGCAATAATATTTCCCCTAATTCTTCAAATATTCTTGTTTCAGGCCTAGAAAGAGGGGAAAACCCACAATATTGTCTTTTATTTCACTATGCCCTTCTGTTTGCATCCTGTCTTACCAAGGAACATGGTTTGAAAATGGTTTCCCTGCCCCTTAGGAGACAATATATTTCCATGGGCAGTGCTGGGGTGGGTGGGGAGCTCCCCCCCGCACTTGTCCCCTATCCATTGTTGTAGTCCATTGACAATATATACTACTACTTTTCTTTCAGAGATCTGAACATATGGGACACAACTCACCTTCCTTACCCTCCCTGTTCCAAATTATCTGGTGTTGCCACTGGATGTTTAGAACACATCTCTTCAATAAATAAATAAATTACAAATTAAAACAAAAATTGCATTAAAATAATCCCCTCCCAGACATATTTGTGCTTGCTTTCTGTGCACTCAGAATATACTTTGCATACTCATTATTCAACACACCTCAGTAGAAACAGGAGTAAGAAACACCCTCGCTTTCTCTCCCTACATATTTAAATGTTCTTGTCATTCATTTCCTGAGCTCTCCCTATCCCTAGTTTCACCAGTTCACCACAGCTACAGTTTTCTAAAGGAAACAAAGGTACATGTTCACGAACAGCTACACGAAAATTTATGGATAGAAAGACAACAAGATCTTTATCACAGCAGCTTTAACACGGCAATATTACCATGGCAGTTTTCACAAGAAATGCTTCAGTTGTGAGTTGTTGTCCTTGTTGTTTTTGCATTTCCCACAGAGGAATGCATAACCTATGTTATCTAGGATGCATGTCTGATTTAAAGCTAACTCTCCAATTTGAAAATGGCTCACAAGTGGAACATTCCAGACGTTCTTAGTGTCATTTAGGAAAACCACTATTATACGTAGGCACAGCTTTTTATCAGTTGTGGCTAAACCTTAGACTACTATCTTAATATAGCTTAATACTTTTGGTTGCAAGAGAAAATAGCACCAAACCAGAGGAGGCCTTTTTCTATTTGGCAGGATGCAGATGAGCCTTACTGGAAGGGAAAGTGTTTGTTAAGTAATTAGGAGCTAGAGGCAGGTGGGGGGTGGTCCCTGATCCAGATTGGGACCATAAAGTGGGGGAGTGGGTCTTTAAGCCTTTGCTCCCCTGCAGTGGCCTTGATCTGGACTGGGGCCCCTCACAGCTTTTAATTGCATCAGGGGGAAAGCTGTTGCCAATGGTCTGGTTGTGACCTGAAAAATCTGGAAGACTCAGTACAGTACTGCCACATATGCATATTTGGAAATACATATGAAAACTCTCATTAGATTCTGTGCATTCCCAGCCACCACCTGACAAAAAATGTTTACAATATAAGGCCAGATTAAAGTTGTAAAACATCTGCTCACTGAGCCCAATTTTGTGAGAATATAGTAACCTGACAGTAATTTTGCAAGGATGTAATTTTGTGAAAGCCTTGATGAAAGGCAGAAGGAAGAAAAATCTCAAAATGCAAATGAAATCTCAAAATGAGAGCCAGCATTGGGCAGTGAATGGAGTGTTAAGCAAAGGGCTTATCCACACTCCTGCTTGATTCGTATTTTGATTGTACTGCGACCCAATTTATTTCCCAGGTCCAAAAACTTTTCTTGTTGTTCCGCGATTGTGGCTTGTCAATATGCGACCTTACCTTCTGAATCAGATCTTATCGGATGCACAGAGAAGTGAGATTTTGCTTAAATGAACTTCAATTCAGCAGGTACATAGAATCATAGAGTTGGAAAGTTGGAAAGGACCCTGACAATTATCTAGTTCAACCCCCTGAAATGCAGGAATATGAAAGCTGTCCCATGGGGGAACGAACCTGCAACCTTGGTGTTATCAGCACCACGCTGTAACCAACTGAGCTATCCAGGCATTTAAGATCAGATTTCCACAAGGCACAGCCAAGAGACAACGAGAAAATCTCTTGGACCCAAGGGAATTAATCTGTACATCGTAGGATCCAAAGAAGGTCAAGCGAAAGTGTAGATGAGCGCTAAGATTGGAAGGACTCATCCTCAAAACCTCACTCAACTTTGAAGCTCACTGGGCAATACCAAATCAGTTATGATCTATCAGATTAGCCCTTGCACAGTTGTTGCAATGATTTTTAAAAGGGTGTGGAGACGGTATATATGATATCCTGAGCTCCTTGGTGGAAATGCAAGATAAAAATGTAGTAAGTCTTCTTATTATGCAAAACCAAATCATAAATGCTTCACAGCCCCCAGGCATTTTAGTGGGGATTGTACATGGAGTCTGATTCTGCCTTCCAAGCTAATTTAAAGGCCTTTCCAGAAATCTTTTTTTAGCACAATGGATGCAGTTGTTGGCTGCCAATCTGTTGTGCACAATCTAGACATTTCTCTTCAAGGTTGCACTTTTGTTGTGAAGATAATGGATGGAATTCAATGTTGCACTCCTCCAATCATTTCTTCTGTGCAAGCACTGCAACTTGCCAAACAAAACAAACCCCTCTCTCCTCCCCCAGTTCATTGTTCTGGGGAATCTCCTGATTCCTCCAGAGCCAATTTTTGGGGGGAGTAAGGACCTAGGAGGAGGAGAGGGGTGAAGGGCACCAGGGTCTACTGATGAGCTCCTAGGTGAATTCTGCCCAATGCATTTTATGATGGATGCATCATATTTTGTACCCTGGAAAATGTCAGTTTTCTAGGCATTGCATCCTTTGCCACTCTTAGATGTCTGTGAACAAAGCAACATTCCTGCTTTCACCTGCAACGATTTTGTGAAACTTTTAAGGCCGTTTTAAAATCCTTTTGAAGGCAGGGCACTCTCTTTTATCTCTCCAGTAAAAAATATACAGTGGTACCTCGGGTTAAGAACTTAATTCATTCTGGAGGTCCGTTCTTAACCTGAAACCATTCTTAACCTGAAGTACCACTTTAGCTAGTGGGGCCTCCCGCTGCTGCTGCGCGATTTCTGTTCTCATCCTGAAGCAAAGTTCTTAACCCGAGGTACTATTTCTGGGTTAGCAGAGTCTGTAACCTGAAGCATCTGTAACCCGAGGTACCACTGTAATCCCAAGTCTTTTACGAGGGAAAGAAAACTCATCCCTGACAACATGGACCACCATTCTGAGAATCTTTTCCTTTTACAGCATTTTACATTGAAAGATTATGTGCTTCCTCTCTCCAGCACAGGGACATAAATCTATTCTAATTTTTCCTTGGTGAAACAGGTATACAGCAATCTGGCTATCACACCACATATACATCCCCAGAACATTACATTTGGATAGTCTATTTCATTGAAAGGGGCCTTCTATGCTATTGAAGGAAAGGTAAAATCTAGCCAAGCCAGATCATGCATTCATCAATTGTGATTTGGATAAGACTGAGGAGGGGAAACAGCACAGATTTTAAACTGGAAGGAAATATTTGCATTCAAAATTTCAGGCTGAGCTAAAATAAATTTAATTCATTAGAAAGGAAAGCTGACCTTGGTTTTAAGAGGCTGCATTATTTCTGAGAGATACCGATTCATTTCTCTTGGAGATCCAAAACAGTATTAAAATAGCACACAAAAAAAGAAAAAAGAAAAAGCAAGCTTCATATTTTCACTATTTAAAGTGGAGGAAAACCGCTCATGCATTTGATGTGTTTGGATCAACTGTAGAACAAATGTGAAGCACCATCAATTATTTGCTTCAGATGTTCTGCAAATACATGTATTTTTGTGCAGGTTTCCCCTGGTTCTTAAGCCTGGACCTGGATTTTAAAAAAAAAAATTATGTTTTTTCTTAGCAATTTCTTAGAATTTTTGTAGAATATTAAGCAGCTTAGAAATACATATAAATACACAAAATAAAGCCATTATGAATTCTAATCCACTTTTTGAAGTAATGAATCCCCCCCCTCAAAAAAATATCACACTGGATATGGTATTTTGCTGGGTGGGTCAGAGAGAAAGGGTCTCTGTAGATTACTGCCAGCTGTTTTATGGAACACAGAGCTTTCACTAGTGAACAAGAAGATATGTGTGCGCCTAACTGAATGAAACAATCACAGAATCATAGAAATGAAAGAATGACAAAGTCATCAAATCTGAACCCCAAGCTGGGTCATCCACTCTTCATTCCTCTCACTTAATCCAGACCACAGTGTCTTACAATAGAGAGCTAGAATGAAGAGAGTTCACTCCATCAGCAGTCTGTGTCACCTGGACAGAAAGTCCTTCATGAGCTCAAAAATATAGATCAGATAAATCCTGTTTGTGAAGCAAAACTTAACAACAGGTAACAGTTTACATGGCAGTCTTAGGGTGTCCACAATGTGCCCTACTTTGCAGAGGACATTCATCCATCTGAAGGGCTTGTCAGTGGACAGTTCTCTACTTGATGGTCTGTCAGTCCAGTTTAAAGATAAAGAAACCTAAGGAGGGAGAGCAGGTCCCATGGACAGCAAACTGAATAGGCACACCTGGTCAGTCTTCCTTACCATGCGGAGATATATTAAATTCATTCCTTAACACGTTGAGATGGTTATACTTTAATTAAAATTTCTCTTTTAATTAAAATATAACAATCATGTCTAAACATGCATCTATACATATAAATTAGCTTTTGACAGTTTTGTGCGAATCTATGTCCTCTTTAGGGACGCGGGTGGCGCTGTGGGTAAAACCTCAGTGCCTAGGACTTGCCGATCGCATGGTTGGCGGTTCAAATCCCCGCGACGGGGTGAGCTCCCGTCTTTCGGTCCCAGCTCCTGCCCACCTAGCAGTTCGAAAGCACGCCTAAGTGCAAGTAGATAAATAGATACCGCTTTATAGCGGGAAGGTAAACAGCGTTTCCATGTCCTGCACTGGTGCTGACTCGCCAGAGCAGCTTCGTCACGCTGGCCACGTGACCCGGAAGTGTCTCCGGACAGCGCTGGCCCCCGGCCTCTTAAGTGAGATGGGCGCGCAACCCTAGAGTCGGACACGACTGGCCCGTACGGGCAGGGGTACCTTTACCTTTACCTTTATGTCCTCTTTTGTGGCGATGTTTAAAAGGTTACCCTAAGCAGTCTAGATACACAGGTATTTTACCTGTAAAAGATAAAGGAGACACATATCCCCAGGGAACTCTGGGGTATAGCAAGCACACATCTGGGAGCTCCAGTTGGTTCTGGCTCTCATTTCATGTCTGCTCTATGTTTCTGGTCCTCAAGTTCACACTAGAATTTACAGATAAAAATCCACAATACTACCCTGAGGACTTTTTGTCAACAGACCCTTTTTTGGAGAGATAATCAGGATTGAACAAGCAGTGTTTTGGAGTGCTTAACTCCCCACCCCACCCAGAGTTTATTTCCCTTCTCCAAAGTCCTCCGTGTGACCCCACACCCCAACAGTGTTCCAAATGTCAGTTTCAAAAGGCCATCAAACACACATCCCAGCTTCTCCAATCCTGATTACTACTCCAAAAACAGCTTTTTCCTGTTTAGAAACGGAAACTGGGTAAATCTTGCACAGGTGTGCAAACAGTGTATCATTCAGCCCTCTTGCCACCTTCAGACTACAAATGTTCAGCACATCAAATACCCAGGGCAAACTTGTGGTGTATCTCTGGGCCAGTCTGTAAAGTGTTAACGGACAAGTTATTTTCTTGGGACACAACCACTTGCCAAAGCCTCTTTTCCACAGTAGTCTCAACACACTTTTGTAAGCCTCAAACTTGTCCAGAGGGAGATGTGAAATAGCATCCCTGATAACAAAGAAACATAGGCTCATGCCTGGATCACGTCTCCCCGCCGGCTGGCTTCATGGACCACCGCAGCATTACTCCTGGTGCCGCTCTCATGGTTCTCAATATCTCCAGCAATGGCCAGGTATGTGAAACAGGTAAATGTGATAAAAGAAAACCCTGCTTTCCTGCTCCCCGCTGCATTCCTGCCTAAAGCTAGAATACAGTCTACAAGCCCCCAACACCCTATTCTATTTGGCTTAATCTACTGATCCAATTGCTTTCTTTTAAAGCCAAAATCCCCCTTATTCCATCCTACCACAACAAATTTCCTCCAAGTACTAAAAAAGGGTCCCTCTCCCACATTACCATGCTTTATTTTCAATTCAAACAGAAACCAAACCTTCAATGCGTTATTATGTTATGAACTGACGGTACAATACTGTTGCACCTATCAGGCATTATTCATAAAAAAACACCCCATCAAATAATAATGAGTGGTGCCATTGTCATTATCATCATAGCAGCAAGCAGCACTGATTTCAATCCTAGGAAATCCCCTTTTCCTGCAGAAGAAGCCGGGTGTAGGGGAGGGTGGCTTCCCCCTCCCCCCTTTCTAATGGCATTATTTTAACACAAGCATAAGAGGATTTCATATTTTTTTCCAGGGCTCTATGCAAAACAGCTGTCTAAAAGTGAGAAGCCAAGTCAAAACTTATTTTTCCCCTGTAACAGTGCCAAGATTTAAGAACCGGGGGGGGGGGGGGGTTGAAGCAGAGAGAGAACTCATGTATTTGGGAAGTCTTTTTGGAATTTGGATTCCAAAGACGAGTTTGTTGAAGCGGTAATTCCACGGCAGTTGTTTTTCCGCAGGAATCACAAAATGGTGGCACTGGCTTTTCAAACGGCTGCTGGTTTTTCATTCAAGATGTCTGATGCCATAAAAAAAAGCCAAAATAAAAATGCGAGTATTTAAATTTGAAAGCCTCCTCCTCATTCTGTCCACCCAAATATCAAATCCCACGATTCTGTTCCAATTCAATCATCCTCAATAAGGATAAAAAAGAGGAAATTTCATATAATTCTTGCACTGAATCTGCCTATTTTAAATTTAATCCACCAAGCTCTGTTGCCTCACAGCATCTATTAACTTCAACAGTACCAAAACAGAAGACTAACATAAGCCCCACTCAGGTTGGGAGAGTGCAAATAATTGGAGCCCCTTTTAAAGACACAGTGCATCAAAAATCTCTCTGTCTTTCAGCAACCACACGCTAGTTTTAGATGGGAGTCACGAGTATTTTTGTGAATTTTCGCTATATAGCATATCTATGAGCTTGAGGCAGCATACATGGTATATACAGCCACTGCTCCCCCTTCCCTCGCCACACACACAATTTTATTTGCACAGTGCCCTGTGAGATAAGCCAAGCTTCTCCCGTGCCTAAATAACATGGATCTGAGGGGTTTTATGCTTGCCCAGCCACTGTCTCCGAAAAAAACGGCTCTTTACTGCTGAATCAGAGCAAACGTCCAATTCTGTAGTAAAGAGCAGGCTTCCCCAGGGGAAATTGGTATGGAAAGTGGAGGTGTGGAGGAGCCCCGAGTGGGGATATGAATCAGTTTCCCCAATCTTAGATTGCATACACACCATATATGTAAAGCGCGCACACACAGACACATACACACACAAGAAACCTGAGAACTGTAGATTGTTAAGGGTGCTGGAAACTGTAGCTCTGTGAAGGGTAACCTCCACTTCCCAATAAAGATCTCCCCATTACTGAAAACTCAAAAAAGAATTAAGCAAACAATTCTGGGGGAAATTCTCCCACCTGAACTCCAAATAAATGTTATGAAGGCATTGCGGAAGCATTTCCTTTACAATGTGAAAACTTGTATGGGAAATTATCAGAGTCCAGAAATATTCTACAAAAAACCAAATAGGCACACCTCATTTTTCAGCTCAGGAGCAAGTCCATCCTAATGTAGCAAAGGCCAGACAGTGCTCCCCGCATCCTGTGGGAGTTTATTGTAGAATGAGTGGTGCCCAATTTTTATTTTTTTTATTTTTTGCATCATCCACGTGGTGTCATCATCAACAAAATGCCAGCCTATAGCTTTTTCTCATTCAATCTAGATTTACCCATTCCATTTAAAATGTAGTAAGTAAAAATAATCAGTTGTACATCTGCAATCACTGCTAGTATGGATGATCATGAGAGCATTTTTTAAATGGGTTGTTTGTCAAATGTGTGGTGATGTTTCACTGGGTGACCTAAAATTCTGGACCCCTTCTTCCATTTGCTCCTCATCTGGGCACAACCTAGCTATTGATGTTGGCCCAAACAATATGAGTGTGCCTATTTCTGCCAATTGCCACCTGCAGAAGACATGTTTGAATATCAGCAGCCAGGTTTTGATGAGCTGTTGTCAAGCTGGGAGCAGGGATTCAGTCAGCAGTAACGCCCAAGGTGTCCGTGAAGTTAACTCTTTATTCAAAGAAACAAAACAGCTCAGGCCTAGTGAGCACAGTAACCCTTCCCAGTAGGTCTTGCCCCAATGAGGCAGTTGTGAGGATTGTGAGGACCTTCCCATAGCTCCCTATGTCTCTTCCTCCTCCAGGTCCTTCCCAAGCGGCATAAGACTATGTGTCTTGTCTGTCTTTCCTCTGCCCTCTTTATACCTCCTCAGAGAGGAGGGGAGCTGGTCAAAGCAGGAGAGGGAGACTTCCTGGCTTCTTCAGCAGTCTACCTCCCCTCTGCATCTTGACACCCCCAGCCCACCCCAGCCCTGTCTGCTTCTGCCTCCAATTCTGGACTGCTTTCCGTCACAACCTCTTCCTGCTCACTAAACCCTGTTACCTCTTCAGCTTCTGACACCTCCTCCTCCCAGTCTGCTCCCTCTTCTCCCTCTGACTACGCATCATCTTCCAACCACCAATTCCCTAGCTCTGAGTCTTCTTTCCTTGAGGTTTCCCCAGCTGGTGCCTCCTACCGCTCCTCTACATCCAGCCACTCCATGACAGCTGCTCTCGCAAGATCTCCACACAGTACATGTGCAGGTTTACTCCTTGGAGACTGTAACTGCAGTACACACACGGGCTTAAAAAAAATACGCAGGACTTGTGGAAGACCTCTGTACCATGCTTGTGCAAATCTTAAGTCAGGCAAGTATCAGTCCTGAGCAAAACCACAGTATTGTTGTTGGTTTTACCTAATGGTAACATTGTCCCTACCACCACCACCACAAAAAAAGGTACAAGCCTCCATTCTGTGAAGCACAATTAACTAAGGCTGGTAATGTTTGCTTTTCCGCTCTTCCCCACATTCTGGGATTTATTTATTTATTAATTAAAAAGGTATGCACACAGAGATACAGAAATACCTGTGCACATGCCAAGAAAGATAAAAGGGAAGTTGGGGAGTAGTGATTTAGGAAAGGGATAAAATAAAAATCACCACCCCAGATACATTCCAGAAAGCTATGCCCACTAGTGTGAGCAGCAAGCTATGGAATAGCAATGACTATGGTGGCTGAAAAACACAAGAGTGTGTGTATGCTTGTGTGCCAACTGAGCACACATTAAAAAACGCATCTGGACAATCCATTTGCAAGATAAGGTCTGTTTTTGAATCAAACCATTCTAGCCCAACCTTGGCTGCAGCCAGACACTGCGCTAAACAATAGTTTAGCAAAGTGTGAACAGCCCTGGTCTCCTTCTAGCTTGTTGACTCCCCTCTTCCTCTTCCCACATGCCAAAGAGTTCACTTTTTCTTAACTGTGATTTGCCATTTCACCCAGAAGCAACAAATTGTGATTTATCTTAACCTTAACTAGGGTTAATGTCAAATAAACCAATTTCAATACGTGGTTTCTGAAGCTGGCTTGTTTAAACTAGATTAGCCACAGTTCTAGGTTCTATATGCTGGGCAAGCTGTGGTTAGGCAAAAGTGAAAGTTTTTAAATTCCACTTCCTCCAGCTGCAGGGAGGAGATGGGAGCACACAAGCCCAGGAGGATGCTAGGCTCATTCATGTTCTGCAACTCCATAGTTTAGCTTGATGTCTGAATGCAGCTACTATCTAACTATGGCCAGCCTCGGTCAGAGGTCTTGCCTAGCCCTGCCACTTAAGGGCCTCCCCAGATGTCCTTTTTATTGCACATTCATAAAGCTTTGTGCTTATCATGCCATTGGAGCAATAATGTGCAATCCTGCTTTCAATACTATCTCACCTGCAAAATAAAAAAAATTCCTTCCAGTAGCACCTTAGAGACCAACTGAGTTTGTTATTGGTATGAGCTTTTGTGTGCATGCACATGAAAGCTCATACCAATAACAAACTTAGTTGGTCTCTAAGGTGCTACTGGAAGGAATTTTTTTATTTTGTTTCGACTATGGCAGACTGACACGGCTACCTACCTGTAACTCACCTGCAAAATGTTTGGGGCAGTCATACTGCCGTATTTCCAATCAGTGCATATCCCATGACTTCCTGCTTTTCATGCCACCAATGTTCGGGGGGGGGGTTGGGGGGTTGGTCCCACTTTTGTTGTGCTATAGCCACTCCAGACAGCAATAACGTGGTAGCACGGGGGGGGGGGGGAGTCATCACAGAACTAATAAATAGGATAAATCCACCAACAATGCACTTTTACTGTGTCAAGATCATGTTGCAGAATGCACCCCCAATAAAACATAAAGGAGAGTCCCTTAGTGCCTTTTAACTGGATATATCTGGGATGAAACCTGACTGAACTTTTGTGCATGCAAAAGAGGTGTTCATTTATAAGGCAGCTGGAAACTCATAACCCAACTGAAGACTTGTGGAGGGGGAGAAGCTTAAGACTAACCAGATATGATGATGCCATCTTTCATGGGTCTGCCTATATAAAGCAGGGTGTGGTGGGGGGGTGTCATACTTTAATAGCAAAGAAGCATTCAGGGAAGGGAAGGGTTGCTGAACCCTCCCCATTCCTGCATCTCACAATAGATTTGCTCCAGGTATTTTTCTCCACTGCTTAAGTCCAGTATCAGAAGCGAGACAGCAAGGGAGAAAATAGCTACAGCAAAACAGTGAAGGGGTGTAAGGCATGTGAGGGGGCAAGGTTCAATGCCTTTCTTACACCCCCCCTTTTAAAGTTAAAGTAAGGTGCACACCTCAGCTTTATATGTGAATGAATGACACATAAAAAAGGCCTCAGCCACATCTACTTTGAACCTCAATCTTAAATCTTAGCTAATCTGCCATCATGAGCCAAGGTAGATGCTTGTGTCATTATGTCAACGTACTTCATATCACAAATATTCCAACAAGTTCCTCCATCAGAAATACCGTCTCCCTAACCAAGAATAGGTGACAGGCACAGTTAGTAGAAAATAAGGACTATAATGGCAAATGATAATAAACCAGGATTGCTTTCAGTTTAGCACAATAAACATCAATTACAACCCAGCATCTCCAACCAGCTGTGTATCTAGCCCCATGACCTGACCCCAACTCTCCAAGATGAAAACGTTGTCATGCCACAGCTACCCAACAATCCCTAGCAGTTGGCAACACAATTTTTTTGAACTTGAAATTTGTGAATATTGCTGCGCTGCACACCCTTTCTCGTAACTGATTCAGAAATTGTTTTCCCCTATTATCCTGAATATCCTGGGTTAATTCAAAAATACCCTCCTGACACTATGGCATAGCAGGTAAAGTCTGGAATGAGTAAGTGATCTTGAATAATAATAATCCAGTATGTTAATTCTTAAATCACAGAATCTTTCATGAAGTTGGAACACAGTTCCATGGCATGTCCCCAATGCCCACTGATTTCAAAAGGACTTCTGCAAGTCTGACTGTACATTCTGAGAATAGGTAGCTAACCTGTAGCTCTCCTGATGTTGTTGGATATCAACTCCCATTAGCTGCAGCTGATGATGGGAGTTGTGCTCCCACAAAACCTGCAAGGCCACAAGTTAGGCACCCCTGTTCTAAGATTTCAGGTCTTCCAGGGGATTAAACTGTTGACTACCTTGGTTCCATAAGTCAAAGACAGTCAAATAAATTAGAAAAATAAATGTTAACAATTGCTGTTTTAAGACAAGCAAAACGGTGATAAACTGACTAATCAATTAGCTGCTTTTGCAGGATTTGTATTGTTGCCTTAGTTGTGAAATGTTTGAGACCCCACCCTTCCTCCCTAAGCCCTAAATCCCAGATTTCAGACAGATGTATTCTAGGAGGATATTGGAGGGTGGAGCAACAACACAGCTGCTATCACCCTCCTCCCTCCAAACCATACAACCCACAGACAAAAGCAGCAAAAGCTGCTCTCTTTCCTAAAAGCATTCTCCTCTTCCCCTTGACCCGCCTGCCAGATCACTGAAATGGGGAGGCCATGAGACAGAGCCTGTGCATGGATGTTTGCAAGTTATCCTGTCCTGACCCTGGATGGAACTGGTGAAGCAGAGAGGAAGCAGGAAGGAAGAGACATAGTCACTCCCTGACCCCATATCCCCTCTCCCCCACCCACCCCCATCGCCAAAGGGCCAAATTCCACCCTGTGGGGATGGAATTATGTCCCTAAATGGGAGGCCCCATCATGTCTTGGTACAGTGGCTCTACTGAAATCAGCTCACACATAGCCAGTCTTCCTCCTCCCTTGGAAAATGAAGCAAACAAGAACTAAAATAAGGCTTTTGTGGCATTCTGTTGACATGATTGGATCCAGTGAAAGGACCTTTCAAATCAGATACCTGCGCAGAGAAACAAAGTGAAAAATCACTGGGCATCAGGCTTTGAGAGTTTTCACACCAGATTTTTTTTTTTAGATTTGACCCTGTCCAGTGCAGAAAATCCCAAATAACTTCCAATTCCTAGCACAAGTGTGGGGAAGATTTGACCCTCCTGATGCTGCTGAACTGCAAACTCCCTTCAGCCCCAGCCAGTATGGCCAATGGCCAGTGATGGTGAGAACCCAGAGGACCAAGGCTATCCTAGAACAGTGCAGTATAAATTTGGAAGAGACAAGCTACTCCTCCCATGTGCCAAAGGTTTAAATGATTCCATGGCCACCATGTGCTCTGCTTTTCAACGAAGCTGGTACTGGTCTAGATGCCTCTCCATATAATGGTTACTTATGAAATTAAGTTTATGCAGGAATATAAACCACATGTGAGTAAGGTATCTGTGTGCGCCTTACTTTACAGAGAATAATATTCTTTTTGAAGGGTTGTCAGAGGACAGCCCTCTTGGGGTACCGTCTAACCCAGTGATTCAATATTTAAAGGTGCATCTGGTTCCAAGTCCTATTTAAAGATAGAGAACCCCAAGAAGGGAGAGGAGGGGCCTTGAGCTGGCCCGTCAACAGTCAGCACCTAGACAACAGATTGAGAGGGCAAACAGGTCACCCACTAAGGTGAAATGCCTTGCATTTCTATTTAAATTATAGTAATTATTTCTAAATGCGCATCTGTGCATATAAATTAGCATGTGCAAATTTTATACAAACCTGGGTCCTCTTTTGTCCTCTTTTTTGGTGAAGAATTACCACGTCAGCAGCAAATTGTAATATGAGCCAAGTTAAGACACTCAGCACACATTAAATTGAGGGTTTTTTGTGAGTGAAAGAGGCTACCTCCCTCCACCCCCACCCCCATGGTCCAGTTTGCTGAAACCTTTGGAGGTTTGGAATACATAAAGGAGGTGCAAGATGATCAGGTAACACTGTGCGTGGCAAAAGAAAAGCCCACTCTACAGGTGGAACTACAGTTCCTTTGATGTAGAAAGTGTGGGAAAAGAGTGTGATATGTTTAACTCCAGGGAAACACTCAATTCACATATGCCATTTGTAGCACTTTAGCTGATGACTTTTATATTTTGAAATACTGGTTTTGTATGGTCACTTGTTAGCCACCCTGAATTCCTTGGAAATTCCTAAGAAATGAGATATTCATTTTTAAGGACTAACAATAACACAATTGGCATGAATATGAGAAAAAGAGAGAAATGAAATTTTAAAGACGCTTGCATTCAGCTTTTAAATCAATTGATAGTTATGCAGGAACAGAGATTTACCATCATATTTCAACTCCCTCCCCTCAACCACTCTGCAAAGAGGTTCACACTTTAATTCCTGGAGAGAAAAGCAATCTTCAGAGCAAGGTGGAAAATGACATTAAGTCCACATTTACACCATGCATTTAAAGCACCATAAAACCACTATAAACAGTCAGGGCTCCCTGAAAGGAGTTCTGGGCTGCAGTTTGTTAAGGATGCTTAAGTGTGCTAGAAAACCCCTATTCCCCTCACAGAGCTACAATTCTCAGAGTGGTTTAATAATCAATTAATCACAGGGAACTCTGGGAAATGCAGCTCTGAGAAGGAAATAGGGGTCTCGTAACAGCTCTCAGCACCCACAAGAAACTGAAGCTCCTAGAATTCTTTGGGGGAAGCCATGACCATTTAAACTGGCATCATATAGGAGGTAAATGTGGCCTAAGAACCAGGAAAGTTCCTGATCTGCAATACCCTGCCCCTGTTTATCACGGGCGGCATCTTGTGCCTGATGCCAGCCACGGCTAACAGGGTGGAAGTTCACAAGCCTCAACCTGATGTCATGCATGATTCCTGGAAGGAGGCATACAAGGCAGTTGCAGCATCTCCAGGCACTGGCACTGGGGAGAGGAGGCCTTTTATTGCATATCTTGTTCCATGCGCTGGACTCTTTTAAAATGCCCTTCTCATATAGGACTCCATTATTAAAAGCAGAACACAGCATTTCATCCTAATTTAAAGGACAGACGGAATGCTCAGTGCATCATGTAGCCTTGCTACCATTCCCCCAAATTCATTACATGTGGAGTAAATAATGCATTATTGCCTTGGCTCAAAATATGCCAGACTATCTTGCAAAGTCTGAAATGCTGGGGTAGCCCCCTTTGAACAGAGAAGACCGTGGGCAGGCTGCCTATCTTAAGAAGCTGGTTACTGTGGGCAAACAACAGACAACTGCTGCAGTGTTGTGGCTGAGAAAGAGCTGCATCTGAGAGGCTGCTGGTCCAAATGTAATCTCACCTGAAGGCTTAGCCTATCTCAGCCTCAGTCCTCTGTAAAGGGGGTATGTGAAGCGCTGCAAACAGTGTTTATGTACAGTAAGAAGTTCTATTACTATCTGGTGTGTGAAAGTCATTACCCACCTCCCATTGAAATATGGGTAAAGGGGTGAGGGATCCAAGGATGCCCAGAACTCTTCCGAAAGCATTTCAAGAGGACATGCCTAACCAATATAGCTCCTCAGTGCTGTGATATACCTCCTACCGTATATCAAATGGAATGGCTAAGGCTCACAGGC